TGATGAGATGCAGCAAGTATGATGTCACTCAACAAACAAAGCATTGGACAATCGTGTTTTATTCAATCCTAAACATGGGTAGCATAAATAGTTTCCAAAGAAAATAAGTGCAAAATACCACAGAGAAATTTTCTTAGCAGATTGGGCCTGGAACTCATCAGAGATCATTTAAAGCATAGGAAAAACAAAGTGTTTCTGCCCAGGGAACTACACAAAAAAATTGTGGAACATACTGGTGAGCTGACAGGGGAACAGGCAGGCACAGCATCACGAAGAACTACTATGACAACAGGAAAACTAAAAGGGTGTCAACTGTGCCCTACAAGAAAGGACAGAAAAACCAAACATAGTACTATCAGTATACGTGATACTTGTGTATAGAGGATGATGTTTTCATATGTGAAGACTGCCTTCGATGTGACAGCTGAAGCAAAGGTTATTTCTGTGGTAGGCCTTTTTTGTATTTACATTATAGTTCACATAGGTTTGTGGGGGTTTTGTTTGTTTTGTTTTGTTTTTGAGACAGGGTCTCACTATGTAGTTGAGACTGACGTGGAACTCATTTTGTAGCCCAGGCTGGTCTCGAACTCAGAGCAATGCTCCTGCCTGAGCCTCCCAAGTGCTGGGATTACAGGCATGCGCCACCATGCCCAGCTTAGTTCATGTAGGTTTTTATTTCTGATGTTAAATCTTTTAGGTTTTGTAAGCAAGTAAACTGCTGATGTGAAAATGTTGATGTCTTACTACTCATTACATACTTGATATTTTATTGATATCTTATTTTCCTGCTTAGTGCGTGTTGTACAATATAGCAGGAAGTTCTTGACAGAACAGGAAGAAAGGTGACAAGAATGGCATGCCATATAGGCAGGGAGAGTTAAATGAATGTGCTGTCAGTGTGAGATGTGTGCATGGAATATGCATTTGTCATGTGTGCGGACTGCCTTGGGTGTGACAGCTGACGCAAAGATTATTTTTGTTGTAGAATTCTATTGTTATTTTCATTATAGTTCATAGAGGATTTATTTCTGATGCTGTCTTTTAGGTTTTGTATGCAGATATACAGCTGATGTGAAAATGTTAGTGTTTATTCTAAATGCACAATACTTATTAAGAATTTAATACTTTATTTTATGTTCCTGTGTAATATACTGTGTAATATAATAATCTCCTGACAAAACAGCAAGGGAAGCAAGATGTAAAGTATATCCTACAAAAAGGCCAGGAAAGCAAAATACATGTGCTGTCCATGTAAGCAATATGTATGTGTGGAACATGCTGTTGTCATTTGTGAAGACTGCCTTAGGTGTGATAATTGAAGTAAAGTTTTTTTTTTGTAGCGTTCTATTGGTAGTTTCATTGTAGTTCATATAAGAATTCATTTCTCTGTTCTTTTTTAGTCAGTTGTGGAAAATTTTGTTGGTTTTTTTATAAACACTATACAAATTTAATACTTTATTTTTATAATTTTTTGTGTTAAGCACTCAATGTGTAATATAATAAAACTCAAAATTAAAATTATTAATTCATCATTATAAATATTCCAAAGAATAAACATGGGGATATGTGCCTTTATGATACAATTAGTGTTATGCCCCGTAATAGCCATCATGGACTACTGAGACATTTGAGTAAAATGAAATATGGTTACCTATTTTTTAATATATGACTCTACTATAGAGTCATAGTCATTTACTAATTTCTATTTTAATTAATTCATGTGTGTTAATACATGGCAAGGCAAAAAGTCAGACATGTGCCAAATTGCAGCTTTAACACAAAGGTAAAATTATGATCCTAAGTAATCCTTTTTGATGATAGATTATCTATTCCTTTAAAAATCACAAAGTTCATAGTCTGCCTATTAAACATTTTGCTCCAGGATATAAATTTTTTAATTTCCCTGTGAAAATATCAGTATAAAATGGCCCCAAAGCTTGCGCCTTTTGACCCTGGCCTCCACAACAAACACAAACGTGTGAACCACCACCCTCCCTTCCAAAATTACCATAGCTCTGTCATATGTATATTGTGCTATTCTTTCTTGAAAAAGAGGAGGGAAATTTTCTAATTTGGTTTAAATTTCTTTTGAGACCAAAATAAGATATACTGCTTGGGAATTACACTCTTCTGCAGTACCCTTCTTCCATAGACCTTCCTCCTCAAAATGTTTTGCACTTAGTCCACCAAGTATACACCCTTTCTGCAAGGTCACCCAAGGAACTGTGACTCTTCCTTCAAACATGCCCTACTCACAAAACCATTCTCTGCTGCCCTCCCAACCTCCCAAGTAAAGTTAATCTTTTCATCTGTTCCCATCTTTAATACCTCTCTGATAGCATTTGTCACATTGTATGGAATTATCTACCATATTTACAAATCTCCCAATCAAAATGAACTCCTTCAAAGCAGAGATTTTTTTATTCATTTGTTAATTTCCCAGTACCTCACGTATAATAGCTATTGTATAAAAGCTGTCATATTGGATTGAATCTGTGTAGAACTACTATTTCTCTGTAAGGTAAGTTAGGATAAGATCATGAAAAAGAGTACAAAATTTGGTATTGAGTAAATTTCAAGATTTTCTAGCCTTCCAGACAATGGTTTTGTTTTCAGATGTATACATTATAAATAAAACCACACAGGATCCTAAGGCTTCACAGAGGAAAATGTGTAGGGAAGTGTTTCAGTAAAACAAAGTCAAAGGAAGTAGAGGAAATTTTCAATCCTCTATTTTATGTTCTGCTAGAAGCCTTGGTCCTTCATAACCTCTAAGTACACATGTAGTTACCATGATGTATGTATTGGACAAGATTGAAACACAGAAAAGAAGTAATACGATATTTATGGAATAGAGAAATTATTTTAGAAATCAGACTGGGCTGGAGATTTAGCTCAGTGGTGCAACTGCCTGCCACACAAGCACAAGGTCCTGAGTTTGATCCCCAGTAACAACAACAAAAAAAATTAGACCTTGTACAATTTTGGGTGAAAATGGAGAAATGGGTCTAAATGTTGAATGGGAAAAAAATTACTGATTAGTCCTCCTGAAATTATGGTATGGATAGACACATCAAAGCTTGCAGGGCAATCTGGAAGTTAGGCACATCTAACTGCTGGAGTTGGGACCATGAAAGGATGGGAAGTGAGAAGAGATAGAAGTCAGGAGAATCCTGTCGCCTCATTGAATGCTTGGGATTGAGCTTGGGATCATTGGTGAGGAGGCTGGTAATTCTGGAACAAAACAGGAAAATACCAAGGGAAAACTGGAACTAGTGATATTTCTACACCTTAACATCATAATTTTCAGAAAGTCTTTGTAGCTACTTCACTTCCACCTTTAAATTCCACACAAATTTCTCGTTTGGCCAGTTCTACTCATGATCAGAAATGGGTTCTGGCAAATTTAATTCTTGTTCAGCCAGGTTAACACAGGATAAACCACAATATACGTCTAAATTTTATAAATTGAATTTAGTTTTCATTCTGAAAGCAGTGCTCATTTGAACAGGAAAAAGAGCTAAGAAATAGTATGATTTTTTTCCACAAAAATTCTTAGATATATCTAGTAATGAGCCTTAATAGTACACATTTCAAAAACAAAAATTGATTGTAAACGTTAAATACTGCAGAAAATGTTTGTTATTATATAACATTTCTTTGGCAATATACATTTCTTTGACCTAAGTTTGATGGTCAACAAAGAATCTAGCTATAGGTTTTTTGTGGGGTTTTTTTTTGTTTTGTTTTCTTTTGTTTTTTGGTACTGGGGATCGAACTCAGGACCTTTCGTTTTCAAGGCAGGCAGCAGCACCACTGACCTAAATCCCCACCTCAGGTATAGGTTTTAAAGCAGTCATCTTTTGAGATCTTCTGAAGAAAGATCCAAGCAGAAAAAGGAAGTAATATTTAGTTTTATTTTATTATAACTCATCCATCAGACCTGTGAGTCTCCTAAACACAAAGTAACTCAAGATCAAGTTCCTCTAAGAAAGATACCATGTTCTTAAGTGAAGTAAATTGGACACAGTTTAAATGCCACATTGTTTCTCTGGTATGAGAAAGTGAATGTGAAAATAAGAACTGAGATGTATAGTGGATGTTGGGAAATGGGAAGAAAGTGTTCATATGAGAACAAGGGAGCGGGGGAGGGATGAGAAAAGCAGTGAAAATAGAAGAAAAATGGAAACAAAGCTTTTGTACATAGGGGAAAGTGCTTGAGGGGGGAATGGGATTAAATAAAATAAAGTTTTGTTTTGTTTTGTTTTTTGAGACAGGGTCTCACTAAATAGTTGAGACTGACCTGGAACTCACTGTGTAGCCCAGGCTGGTCCTGAACTCACAGCAATCCTCCTGCTCAGCCTCTCAAGTGCTGGGATTACAGAAATAAAATTTATTTTTAAAAAAAGCAAAGCAAAATAAACCTTTAAATTTTGAGAAAAAAAAGTTGCAAATTTATCCAGAATTTAGAATAATTTGTATCCTGTTATCTTTTTATTTGGCTTAATTTTTTGTTGTTTTGTTTCATTTTGTTTTTTTAAGCAGGGTCTTGCTATGTAGTTAAGGCTGACCTTTGAACTTTCATGCCTCAGCCTCCCAAGAGCTGGGATTACAGGCTTGTGCCACCACACCCAGTTTAATTGGTTATATTACCCTACTTTTTAAAAAGTTTTTATTAAAGCAATAACATCTGAGTTAAAGTAGGAAAAGTAAGCTAATCTTGAGTGTAATTCAGTGAGTTTTCACATATCAGTGTAATGTCAAAACCGTATAACTTTTCCAGTGCCCTGATTGATTTTCCTTGGGCCCTTTGTACTTCCCAGGTAAATGCCTTATATATTTATATTTTTCATTACAATAAATGGTTCAATTTTTGGAACAGTGCTGGAGGGAATTGAATATTAACAATAAATTGAAAAGATTAAATAGTGTGCTCCATAACTGCTTTGAATTACATCTACTTTATGTCACTTTCTCTTTCTGCTTTTATCCTACAACAGGTAATCAGATCCTGTCCCTTGGGAGCCTCTCCAAAGATCAGATTTATCCAATGAAACTCAAGGGCATCTCCATCTGCTATTCAGCTCTTAAATCTGCCTTATGTGGAAATTATGTCAGCTTTGGCGTCTTCAAGTTGTATGGGGACAACCATTTTGACAATGTACTCCAGGCCTTTGTCAAAATGCTGCTGTCAGTGTCCCACAGTGACTTGCTAGTAAGCAATCATATACCATGGAAGTCTTTGTGTGAAACATGAAGTAACACCACCACAGGCCTGCAGTTGTTATCATGAAGCCTAGGGATTAGAATATCACCAGAACATTTTATGTTTTAAGACAGCATACTTGATCTACCCTGCCAAACTTGGACAACTGTAGTAATATGTTTATATAATTAAATGTGCAGGTTAAAAAGCTGCAGCTACCACCTGTGACAAGTCGGTCATCCAGTATACTGCAGGTTTGCATATGCATATAGAAAAAAACAATTAGCAGTTTCAACTAATCACTCTCAAATATTCATTATTCAAAAGAAGTCCTGTTTTTCTTAGATACAGTACCAAACTGAAAGTTGAATCTGATGTGACTGTCTACTGTGTAGACTGACACTCAGTAGCCATTAAACTTGAATTAATGGCCTATTTCTCCATACCTTTATAACGAATGGATTAAAAGTGATCTCTGAATCTTTTTTTTTTTGGTACTGAGGATCAAACTCAGGACCTTGCACTTGCGATGCAGGTGGTGGCACCACTGGGCTAAATCCCCAGCCCTCTAAACTTTTTATCTGCTCTACCATGTACAGTGGACCCCTGATTTACAACTCAAATCAGTTTTCAAGGGCTGGTTGAAACTCAGATAGGTAGTAAGTCAAAAGAGCTGAGATCTGGGTATTTACCTGGGTACATGCTATAGATAACAAGAGGCAGATGAATGTTCCATTAACCTAATTAGCCCAAGTTGTTCGTATGTCAGGCCATTCATAACTTGAGAGTCAACTGTAGTTTCCACAATATCAGTAGTCTTGAAACTGAAACCTATCAGAAACACCTGAGGTGCTTTTTGGAAATTCAAATTTTCTGGCTCCTCCACTGGCTTCTATCATTAGACATTTTAAAAGTATCTCTGCCAGATTATATATAATAAACCAGTATATGCCCAACATGGTTACAGTAATTATTTGGGTAACCCAGCCAAATTTCAGATTAGTTCAGACTTTACTATTTTCTTTCACCTCAAAGTTAGTTGCCAAGTGTGACCTAGTGGGCCTTTGTTGGTCAGCCTGTATGAGAATGCTCCACAACTTCTAATGGACTAGGGTACCCTCTTCCTCCCCATTCTCAGCTAATCTTTACAGAGCCACACCTCAAGCTGAAGTTGATAACTGTCCTAATAATAGAATGTTTCTTTGCCTGTATGACAAAAATTTCAAGGTAGAAACTTGAGTCTAATCAGCTGCATGTTACAGCCACATCAATGAAGGGACTGTTTGCTACAGTTGAAGTTCACCAAGAAAACTAATGTCACTCTGTGAATTTTTCTTCCATCGTTAATAGTCAAGCAAACGTCCAATTCAGTAATTCTCAAAACTAAAGATACGTAACACTCTCTATTTAGCATATACATTTAAATTGCACAATTTAAGGCCTTTCTCCAGAACTTTTCATTTAATGAGTGTGGAATGGGGATCAGGAAATTGCATTTTTAACAAGCAGCCCAAATGATTCTTCACAAAATCTCACTTAAATGCTACTCCAAAATACCAAATAGTTTCTCTGGTGTGAAAAGCTAAAAGTGTAATAAAGTTCAAATTGTATAAAAAAATGCTGATCCACACAAGGGTTAAGTTAAAATAAAACTGAGGGATATCTTGCAAAGTGGGAAAGAAAAATGCTACTCCAGCTTATCACTAATGTTAAGTTTCATGCTTTGATATTGGTTTGGTTTGCATTTAAATTTTTTCAGGTATCTTTTTTATACCTTTATTTTTTGCCTATACAATATGGTGAATTTTAAGCCATTTACCAAGTAATGATCTAGTTAGATGGGTTGTCATTGTATAAATACATAAGACTGTGATGCCAAATCTTAATTCTGTTGCAAGTTTTTTAATAAAATGAAATAGTTATGTACCCACTCTTAAGCACTTTTCAGTGGTAATGGCATTCAAGTTCAGAAAAATAATTTAGTCTTCTAAATGGTGTACTGCAAAGATTTTACTTACATTTAGGCATCAGCAATGCAGGGTAAAATTGAAATAATGTACTAAGCTGCAGCTTCAAATTAAGGTTTCTAGAGATCAAGAGATTCTTACTAGAACACCTTTAAATGTTGAATTGGAATTGTCATTTGTTTATATACTTATTGACTGTATTTAAGTAAGTACAAGCTCCATTATTACAAATGTTCATTTCTACTGGATTATCATGTCTTTTTATTCATTGTGGCTTAACATTCAGTGTATTTCTGTATTGCAGCAATATCGGAAGTTGAGCCAGTCTTATTACCCACTCCTGGAATGTCTCACCCAAGACCACATGAGCTTCATTGCCAATTTAGAGCCTCCTGTGCTCCTCTATGTTCTCACCTCTATGTCAGAGGGACTCACAAGTCTTGGTAAGGATCATGGAGGACTTTGTTTCCATGGGAAAAACTTGACTGACTGTATCTGTTACTATATGTGTTTACTGAAACTGATCTGCAAAAGAGAAAGACACTATAAACCAAATGGAAAGATTATTTTATAACTGGTATTTGCAAGTCGGAAAATGCATTTATCATATATTGACAGTTATTTTTAACCAGCCTTATTGAAGTATAATTTATATACAATAAAATTCTCTAATTTTAAGGGAACAGTTTAGTGAGTCCGACAAATTTTACACAATGGTAAACCACCACAACCAATGTATAGAACACTTTGAATCCATAAAAAGCTCCCGTGTGGCACCTTTAGATCAATTTCTTCTCACTACCCTCAGCCCCAGGGAAACGCGGTCTCCGGTCTCTACTTTCTCTTTGCCTTTTCCAGAATTTCCTGTAAGAGTTGAAGTTGTTTGTGTCTGGTTTCTTTTATTGGACAAAATGCCTCTGAGATTTATCTATATTGTCTTACAAATCATTTACTTTGTTTCTTTCTGTTGCTGTTATTTCATTGTATGGATTACCACAATTTATTTATCCATTCTCCAGCTGGTTGACATTGGGTTTGTTTCCCTTATTTTACTATTTCAAATATGGCCACTATGAGCATTCATGTACAAGTCTTTACTTGATTTTGTTTTGTTGTTTTCCTTGAGTAAACACCTAGAAGTAGGGCTTCCAGGCTGCATGCTAAATTGTTTTGATTTTGGGTTTTTGGGGTTTGGGTTTGGGTTTTGTTTGCAACACTGGAATTGAACCCAGGGCCCCATGCACACTAGACAACTGATCCCATCCCTTTCATTTTTTGAGATAAGGTCTTCCTAAATTACCCAGAATGTCTTTACATTTATGATCCTTCTTGTTGCATCTCAAATAGCTGGGATTGCAGGTAATACGACCTCACCCAGTTGCTAAGTATATTTTTAATATTTTAAGAAATGAACATAGTCCCAAGGTAACTACACTATTTTGTTCCAGCACTGTAGGAGGGTTCCAGTTGCTCTCTGCCTTCACTAACACTTGTTATTAGTCTTTTTAACATTAGCAGTCCTGCTGGATGTGAAATGGAATCTTACTATGGTTTTAATTTGCATTTCACTAATGAATCCTTATTTGATGATTGAGTCGTGCTTATTTGCTATTCTCTTCTTGGTGAGGTATTCAAATCCTTTCTAATTATTTTAAACGGGTTTATTTTGTTGCTGAGTTGTAAAAGCTGTTACACATTCTGGATATACATCCCTTGTCAGGTGTATGTTTTGCAATTATGTTTCAGCCCTGTTACTTCTCTTTGTATTTTTCTAAGAGTATCCTCAGAAGAGCAAAATTTTTAATTTAGTTAATTGTTATGGTTTACATTTTGGGGGGATTCTGAGAAATCTTTGCTTAGCCCAAGGCCATGAAAATTTCATTCATGTTTTCTTCTAAAAGCTCTATAGCTTAACTCTAATGTTTCAGTCTATGGCTTATTTTAATTTTTATATATGGCATGAGGTAAAGGCTGAAATTCTTTAACATATGGATGTTCAATTTTTCTAATAACGTTTATTAAAAAATATCCTTTACCTATCTCATTACCTTATATCAGGACTCTATGTCCTAATTTTATAGCAGCTCTTAAAATATTGTAGTTCTTTAATGTAGTTTTTCTCTTTTAAAATTTATCTGGGCTATTCTGAGTCCTTTGCCTTTGTATAGAAATTTTAGAATCAACTCATCAATTTCTCTTGTTTAAAAAAAATGGGAATTTTGATTGAAACTACTCTGAATCTCTAGCTAAAATTATGGATAATGAACAGATAAAAATATTTAGTGTTCAATTCCCAAAAATTATGTCTCTGCTCATTTAGATATTCCTTAACCTTTCTCAACAGTGTCTTTGTAGTTTTGAATTTGAGTCTTGTACATACTTTCTTATGTTTATAAATAAATATTCCATAGGTTTATGCTATTGTAAATGGTGCTTTTAAATTTCCTGTATATTTATTTGGTACAGAATTGAATTTGATGCTTTTGTATATTGAATTCATACCCTGCAACCTTACTAAACTCATTAATTCTAATAGCTTTTAGTAGATTTCTTAAAATAATTCTATATAGATTTGGTGGTAGATACAGAAATTTTACCTTATTTGTTCCAATCTATATGCTTTTTTTTCTGCCCTGACTTCACACACTTGCTAGAACCTGGGGAAAAAAATTAGATAGAAGTGAGTGAGATAGGAAACATTTTTTTCTTACTGTAAGTGTTAGGGAAGAAGCAGTCAGAATAATGTTACATTTCTCATAGATGCTTTTTATTGTGTTGAAGAAATTTCCTTTAATTTTTATTTTTCTAAGAGTATTTTCATGAATGAGTATTGAACTGTATCTAATGCTTTTCCTGCATCAAATGACAGGATCATTTATTTTTTTTCCTTTTGGTTTGTTAATCCATTATGTTAATATTGATGATTATATTGAAGGAAGTTCCAAATATTAAACTAGCCTTGCATTCCACACTTGACTATGCTATCTGTATTACTGGATTCAATTTGCTAAAATTTTGATACAGATTTTTTTTATTTTTGTTCATGGTAGACACTGGCGTATTCTTCAACTCTTATATAGTTTTCTGTTCTTATAACTTTGCCATGTTTTATTATCAGTCTGTTGTCCTCATAAGATGATCTAAGAAATGTTTCCTCTTCTGTTTTCTCAAAAATTTTTGTATAATTGCTATTAGTTTTTACTTAAATATTTGACAGAACTCCCCAGTGAAATGGAACAATCAGGATAGAGTTTTACTCTAAAATTTCTTTAATGGATATACACCTATTCCAGTTATCTGTTAAATCTTAAGTTTATTTGGCTATTTGTCTTTAAAGAAATGTATCCTTTACATCTGAAGTTCCTATAACATTATTAATACAAAATTGTTCATAATTGTTATTCGGCTTTATTTATATAGGATCTGTAGGGAAGTTTCCTCTTTCATTTCTTATAGTGGCAATTTTCATCTTCTCTCTTTTTTTCTTTCCATTTTGGGGACTGAACTTAGGGGAGCCCTACCACAATTACTGAGCTATATCCCCAGATAAATTGTCCAGACTGAGCTCAAGTATGATCACCCTGCCTTCACCTCCCAGAGTGTTAGGATTACAATCATATGCCATGATCTTTTTGGGCTTTTGGGGTTTTTTTGTTTGTTTGTTTTCTTTTGTTTGGATTTGCTACAATCTGTATTTTTTTCCTCGTTGAGTTTATTGGTACATTTCAGGTATACAGCACAGTTGCATTCATCATTAGGATATTGTATCTTTACATGACAGATCTTGGTTCTTATTTTTTCCCCTTGTCCCTGCCCTCCCTTCACCCCTTCCTCCCCTCCCCATTTACAAAAATTTGATTTCCATTTTTTCATTTCTCCTATTTTTTTTCTTTCCCTTATTATTTCCCCTACCCTTCCCACTTTCCCTACACCTTTACCCTTTTCTTCCTATTTCACATTTTCAGTTATCTCATTGGGATCTTATGTACTATTATAGTTTGTTCACACCAGAGAAACAATTGAGTATTTACAATTGTTGACTTATTTATTTCACTTAGGAGTATATCCTCAACATGTATCCATTTTCCTATGAATGAATCTAATTTCTTATTCTTTATGACTGAGTAGTCCATTTTATAGAAAAAAACGCATCTTTATCCAGTTTCCAGCTGATGGGCAAATGGGCTGTTTCCAAGTTTTAGCTATTACAAACTGTGCCGCTATAAACCTAGGTGTGCATATATCACTGTTATATGATTCTTTTAATTCTTTTGGAAAGATATCCAGCAGAGGGATGGCTGGAAGATAAGTTAGGCAGAACTCTTGAAGACATTGGCATATGAAAACACTTTATGAACAAATCCTCAGTAGCACGGGAACCAGCAGAAAGAATCAACAACTGGGATCTCATCTTATTAGAACACTTCTGCACTGCAAAAGAAACCATCAACAGAATTAAGAGACAAGCTACAATGTGGGGAAAATTTTTTACCAGCTGCTCCTCAGACAAATGACTATTATCTAGAATATATAAAGAACTCAAAACAATCAGCCCCCCAAATATAAAGACCCGATTCAAAAATGGGCATCTGAAGTGAACAGACATTTCTTAGACAAAGAAGTAAAAGCAGCAAGAAAATATATGAAATAATGTTCCACATCACTGGTCATTCGAGAGATGCAGATGAAAACAACAGAGATTCCACCTCACCCCATAAAGAATGTCTGCTATTAAGAAATCAACCAATAACAAATTTTGGCAGGGTTGTGGGGAGAAAGAAACCCTTCTCCATTGTTGGTGGGAGTGCAGACTAGTGCAACCACTATGGAAATCAATATGAAGATACCCCAAGAGCTGGGACTAGAGGTTCCATTTTTTGGGTTTTTTATTTGTTTATTCTTCTTGATCATTCTGGCTGTCGTTTATCAGTTTTATTGCAAAGAACTGTTTTCAGTTTTCAGTGGTTTTTCTGTTTTTTATTTCGCTTATTTCAAGTATGATTTTTATGTCCTTCAGTTTATTTTGCTTTTTCTAGTTTTTCTTAGAAGTTTTAATTATTTAGGTCTTTCTTTTTTAACATACACATTTAATACTTTAAGCATTACAATAGCTATATCTCGTAAATTTAGATGTATATTGCTTCTATTTTCAGTCCAGTTCAAAAACATTTCCTGATTGCCTTCTTGATTTTTGTTTGTTTGTTTGTTGTTTGTTTTTGGTACCAGGGATGGAACTCAGGACCTTACGCTTGTGAGGTAGGCAGTGAAACCACTGAGCTAAGTACCCAGCCTGATTTTTTGACTAACAGGTTGTTACTGAAAATCATTTTGTTTAATTTCCAAATATTTGAAAATATTCCTGATACCTATTTATAATTGATTCTTGTTTTATTCCATTGTATCATAAATGTATTGAGTTATTTTTATGCTTTTTAAATTTATT